CTGTGAACTCAAAATTGATTACCATCTAGGCTGTAGGAGTCCGCAATGGGTACAAACTGACGAAGATGACGACGAGTGGCACAACGACGGTGTCTGCAGTAGGTGTGGAGGGGCTCGTGCAAAAGGAGAGAAGGCTGGGTAGATGCAGGGAGGCAGGAGAGGACAAGCGAGATGCTGGGGCAAGATTGGGCCACCAATGACCGACGATGATGGTGCCTTTTTGGGTAACAGCTGTATGACCACAACCCCGCCCACATTCAACATGGGCCTATACCGCTCCACTCTAGCATCCCGCACACCCCATATCCGTGACTCGTCTCCCCGACTCTGCCATCGTTGTGCATCAACACTCCCGCCCCATATTATCCCCTACAGCGAGTCTATCGCCCCTGAGGCCTGAGACCTCACCACCCCCGTTCTCGGCATCATGGAACATGGTGGTGTCGTTCCTTCCCCTCCCTGAATCCGCCCGTCGCTATCAACAGGCCGTCGACCCTACCTCGCTCGGTTTTCTGCTTCTGACCGGGTGCTCCGTTGTCCCTAGCCACCCAGCGATGACACATTGTCTCCCCTGACGACACCACGCGCAGAGCTCATGTAGAGGGAAGTCGATCATGGTTTGGTATACACGGACTCGGGTGTGCCGTGGTTTGGCAGCGCCCGGCCTTTCAAGCTTACAGCACTTCTGCTTGTCGATCTGATGCTAGACGTCGCCTTGAACAGTACATCCCTTTGTAAACAATCACCACCGTTCCCGTTTTCAATGCGTCTCTTCAAGTAGCCAGCCTCGTCAAGGCTTCCGGTGTACAGGATACGTTGAAAAGCTTACCAAAGTCTCGTTATCCGTGGTCGCGCTGCTTGAGGTATCCGTACCGCTCTTTGATGTATAATGTTCCCTCGAGTCTGTGCTGTGAAACAAAGAAGTCGTGAAGAATCTCTGTAATATCAATGTCGTTGTCGACAGGCTTGATAGATGTATGCAGAGTGAAGATCCGGGACGTTGGCGCGGGCATGCAAGGGGATACCGGGAAAAATTTGCATGCTGTAGTTAATATACAGCTAATGATGAAACGATAGGCATCGTACGGGCATAACCTGAGGCCGGAAAGACACCGAGAACAGCACCGCGGAACCGACAGCATTATCCAATGTCGAAGAGCTTGAAGAGACCATCCAAGATTACAGAAGGTGGGTGAATGTCTCGGAGACGGACGTCTTCGTACATGTACTTTGCACTTTACGAGTTGTTAGTCTAATTAGTATACTGAAGATCCACATAACGAGCAACAGCATTTTCCCACTCATTGCGAACAATCGCCTACAGCACGCCTGATGCGAGAGATGCGACAGAAGAGTGTATCATGAGAAGAAGTATGAGTGATTGTTCGAATCATACTTCCACGCACGATTCGTTTCACATTGATTTGGAAGCGCAGAGCGGCACTAGTATCCTTGTATATGGAAGAAGCAGTGGAACACGTAATATACTATCCGCACGCCACAGCACCGGAGTTGTGAGATACGACACAAAGTAATCTAACATTGATTCTAAGTACGTCGCTTTGGCCTGGCCCGTGCAAGTTATGCAGTCTGACCAAGGTGTAGATGACTAACTGGAATAGTAATGAAGCTCGAATAACTGAGTATTGACAGAAAAGTCGGAATGAGAAGTGAAATAATGCATCCGAGTCTGTCATCAATATATAAATAGCTCAGAAATAAATCCCGGTTTTCTGTACACGAAGCGCAGTCAAGACACTATGCAAATCAATCTATATTACCATTGCAGATTTGATGTACTTTACAGGCTGAACGGGCGGAAGGATTGTCTCTGCTCGTGCTTCAGCCGCGTCTTCCGATTAACGACAGATGCCTATACCAATGCATAGAACGTAGTAGTTACCTTGCTCATCAAGCGGCATTGAACTGGTATATTTGGAGTCATCCCGACAGTCGGGGATCCGCCAGCTGGTCACAATTGAACTTTCCGTGAGAACTGCAAAAGGAAGTAAAGAGTATCCTCATCTGAAGTCAAGGGTTGAGTGCCAAGACCAGGCTGTAGTCTATGCACATCTCGGTAGAACATAGGTAACAGTAGGCGTTGGGGTACAAGCAAGCAAATGCGAAAGAGAGAGCTTCCCGGCTTTTCGGTCTATTAGGAACCACATACATGCAACAAGTGTATTGAACTTCGGATGTAGTTGTGAGAATAAATTAAATCATGATCGTCGGAACTCTAATGTCTCTTGCTAAATTAATTATTTATGTGAGAAAAATTGGAATCAGAGGTTAAAAAAAAAAAAGGCGGTGATTGCAAGGGGCTTCTTCGGGATCCGGAAAACAAACTCCTCCGAGGGACCCACCACAGCCTCGGCCATCCCATCCTTCAACAGGCTGTGCATCTCCGTGACCTTCAAAACGCAGTCACCCACTGAATGGATCTACAGCACAACGTGAGATACAGCACGAATAATCTGAAAGAGGAAGAATTACCAAAAAGTCTGTCTTGAGGTCGTCAACGCGCCTCCTGTAAGCCTGGATAGCCTCTCGGAAGTCATCGACGCTAAAGACGCCTTTAAATCCACGATGTTTGCGCTTCATATCTTTCAAATCTTGAGCTATGCTTTCGAGATACCTGTAGTCAGATATTTGATTAGTTGTTGAGGCGTGACAGCCAGCGAAATAGCACTCACACTTCCATCTCCCCACAAATATCCTTGAAATGTGAAGCCCCAGGCTCTCCGTGCATACGAACGAAAGCATCGATGACAGCAATCGTGTTTGCGATGCTTTCACAGAGCTCCTTGACATTATTCTTGTTCTTTCCCTTTTGCTATAGAACATAGAATTAGCTAGACTATCCATACAGCAAAGGATGGTTGGACGAACCTCGAAGAGCTTGAAGACGACTACGGCTACCTTGGCCACGTTCTCAACGTATGGCACACCGGAAGCTTCAGCGATATCGGCGACTTGGCGAACGACGTTGAGTGCAGACATGATGGTTGTTGTTGGGGCAGACTTGTGCTGTAGAGTTGATGCAGAAGCGCGTGTCCATTCACAGCGTCTGTGATCTAGGGAGAGATAAGATAACTGAAGAATGCAATCATGATGACTCACCAAAAGCGCCCGCAACACATGAATGTGATCTTAGACGCCCGAAACGCGAATGGATTATATCTTTCTAGTCTGCAGGTGCAATTTTCGAAATGTGTACCGAGAACTGGGAGTCTCCTACTGGCACCTCTTTGCTAGAGCCGTTTCCATGCTATTGGAGGCCACAATGACATGGACTCGCGTTCATTGGCGACAACCATGAAGGGACGTACACCTGGAGATAGTTAGCAAGTATCAGATAATAAGAGGAAGTATAGGCATCCTCGATAAGTATCCGTAAATAGAGTGATACTGCCCAACTCATCTGTCGAATCTCAGCCATCGTTCCCTTCCACGACCATGCCGACATCCGCCAGTGAAGCATTGATCAGGGTGACGTTGAATGAGGTCAGACAATCGGCTAACGGCAGCCCTAGGGCAGTGTCTCTTGCTTGACGCCTGCACGCGACATTCCTCTGTGCGGATATTGGGCTTCACCGGCACATGCGGATACAAGTCTGAAGTGTAATCACTCCCATCACTCAGATGCCACGAAAAGTGAAAGGGGCCGAGTAGGCGTCGTTGAGGATAACCAATTTCTAGTAAACGACTTGGACTCTCATTTCAAAGTCCAGTGGCAGCAGTGGAACGAACGTATAAGAATCCAGTGACACGAAACTACGAAAGAGTTCGAGATATATGTGCATCTGCAAGCAAGGTCAAAATAATGATAAATTGACAGTCACTACTCAACGCACCTTCGGCTGTTTGGTTATGGAAGCCATAATATGATCCGAGCAGATGCTACTCAGTAAAGTATCTCCCTCACGCTCGTTGCTCAGCTTTAGTCTGCCGCTTGGCTCAGATTGCAATTCCATCAAGGAGTCGAAGGGAATACCGTGGGTCTTAGTCTGTCGCCCTTGCCATTTCGTCTCGGAGGGCAGCGTCAGCATGATGTACGAGCCACGGGTGTACAACGAAATAATTGAATTATCGAGGAGGCCAAGTGGGTGATGGAAAAAAGCCGGATATTCCCACGCCATCGACGCGATTTCTCTTCGGGCCGGATCGGCCGTTGTTACCGTCCCAACTATAACTCGCACCTTCGGCCGACGATCTCGTAGAAGGGTAATTTCCCGTAGGATCTGTACCAATTCAGGGTACCTTTTTACTCTCATGAATATGCCCTTACCTTAGAACTGACTCCGCACATTACATAAACAGGAAGAACAAGACAGGGTTACCTCCCTCGCCACGCCAAACATTGACCTTAACCTCTATCACTAGGCTCTATTCGGATTGATGGACTTGCCTTGATTTTATATCCATCTCTCTCCCCTAATACCTAACACATGGACACTTCATGTCTCAGAGACCGCAGTGGTCATCAAGCTCAAGCTTGAAGCACCGTGACATGAGAGATTATGGTGTTGGAAAAGGAAGTCACATAGCATCCCAGAACTGTCTCAGCAAGCATCTACTTGGCTTCAGGAATAATGTCTGATATCAGAATTGCAGGGAACATACTGGCGTCAAGTGCAGCGACCTATATGTGCCAGTATGTGCTTCATAATTCTTTACAATATGATTAAGTACATGAATAACTCCCAGTAACATACCAGATTCGAAAATACGAGTTGAAGTTTACCATCTGCATCAGTGGTGGAAATCTCCCTATCATGCTACGATTTCCTTCTTCATTCGTTCCCAGGCCGCCGAGAGATGTGATATGCCTAACCATGCTCCCTCTGGATGCTGTTAAGCACATTCTGCGTCGAGGTGTCCCCAGTTGGCATCCATGTTATTGCGAATTTCAGTTATCTTATCTCATTCTACAGCTCCTCCTGCTGACGTCAATGCGGCGAACTAGACGCGCTCGTCTGCACCATTACAGCACGCATCCTACCACCACCACCACCACCACCACCACCACCATGCCTTCCTTCAACGCCTGCCACCAAGTCGCCAGCCTTGCCGAAGCTTCTGGCATTCCATACATAGAGAAACTCGCCAAGGTCGCCGTGGCCGTAATGGAACTTCTAGAGGTTCGTATATCATAAGTTTCTGCCTGAATTTTGCCGCTTTATCCTACATCCGTCCCCTATATAGCAAAGGAAAAAGAACAAGAAGGATGTCAAAGCCCTATGCGAAAGCATCGCTAACACGGTCGTTGTCATCAACACCGTTGTTCGGATGAATGAGGAAGCGGGAGCTGCGTACTTTAAAGATATCTGCGCAGAGATGGAAGCGTGAGTCGCAATGCTTTACTTTATAAGCGTGGCTCCCAGCTAACAATCTACCGACAGGTATCTAACGAGCTTAGCCCAAGAATTGAAGGGCGAAATTGAACGCAAGCATAGTGGTATCAAGAGCTTCTTCAATACCCAGGAGCTCCGTGATACCATTCAGGATTATAGAATGCGCGTTGACGATTTAAAGACTGATTTTTTGGTACTCTTTAACACTCTATTTTCCGAAAAAGACATTCTGACTATGGTACTCTGCAGATCCACGTAACTGGAAACTGTCTGTCGGTGCTTGTGGAGCTTCAGACCACCCAGCAGGAACTTATATGTCTCATGGTCGAGATCCGGAACAAGGAGAACACTGCACGAACAATCTATGATATGTGCCGCCAAAACCTTGCGAGAGGGGGGGGGGCGCGCTTTTTTTTTTTTTAGTGCTGTAGACAGTACCCTTTTTGTATCATTGCCCTCTCAAACCTACCATTTCCGTGTGCTGTAGAACTGCCGTGTGCTGTAGACGGGCTGCTGTGTGCTGTAGAAGAGCATTGCCCTATTCCTTCCTTCCTAGGTACCGTTGATATCATTTCAGGACGTAAATAACTCTAGTACAGCAGTTCAATCCCTATATATAATCTGCGAATTCTATTAAGAGATATATCAGGTCAGATAACACCAAGGAACTTGGTGAACTCGAGGTAAAGTAAATGCATGTTGACTATCATCTCAGACCCTGTCCTCGTCCGGTGAGGAAGATAAACCTCTAGGTCAGAAAATTTTTGCCAGGCGCACTGCTATACTATTCTACATAGCTTTTCAGCGATCCTTAACGCCGGCATCGACAATGAATTTGTCAAAACCCGGTTTTGATCGGAAGATATGAAAAAAATGCAGCCCATCTGGAAAGCTAGAATGTGAAAGTATATTAAAGAGTGCAATAACACAACCTCAGGCTAACCATTTATTGGGTATGAACTCTAGTTGTCGATTGCATCCAGCCAGATAAAAAAAAGGCCCCCAGCACGAGGCTAGAAGTTATAATTATAGCGCTAATACCGTCCGTAAGAGCATGCAGTGAGCCGTCTATATCCTTATCATGAATCACACTCGGACAGTCCATTCTTCGCTAACCCAGGAATTTTCCAGCCGAAGTACGCTAGAGAGCGCATCAGTTTACCGTAATTCTAGACATATAATTTGGACGCGTTTGCCATCATGCCGATATAGAATAGAAGCTTCTGCTGGTCCTGCACCCTCAGGATTAACGTAGGGAAGGGTCGCACAGAAATTCATGGTTTCTACGAGGCAGTCACTCGGCCGACATCGGTTCATATCAATAACTGGGGTTGATTCTCAACGACTTCTTCCCAAAACGATTCGCATACTTATAGAAAATCGTAAACATCAGCGTCACCTTAGTATCATGATACAACGATGCTCACCCCTGGTAAACGTATGTAGTAAAATACTAGTAAAAGACCCTACATCACTGTCAGTCCTTCATTGTCAGGATTGACAATGTCCACGGGAGAGAGGATGTGCACCTACGCCTGTGTTAGTAAGACAGATTTGTGCTGTAGAGGGCGATGCAGAAGTCCGCCTCAAGCCCGCCGCGTTACGGCATGAAGAAAAGCTGCGGTAAAATCTGATAAGATGACTAAAGTACGTAACGATGATGACCCACCGGCAGCTCTCGCAACAAGTGATTGGGAACCTGTAGATGCTCGAAAGGCGAATGATAATTTAATATATCTTTCCCGTCGGTTTGTGCGAGTTTAGAAACATGGACCGGACCAGGGGTGTTTAATACTATCACATCTTTACTCGAGGCTGTCGCTAAGCTGTTGGAGGAGCTCAAAGGTCTATTTGACATGGATTAGCGCTCATCAATATCGACGACAATCATAGATGTGCGCCTGCTGAGAGGAAGTGAGAAAATGGGAGATAGTTAGCAAAGATACGACGATAAAAATAGAGAGTCGTACTTGATACATATCTATGAAAAGCGCCATAGCGATATGGCCTAGCGTTCCAGCCGACTCCCGGCCGACCTTCCCCTTCATGACCATGAGAAAGCGTTGGACGTTTTCTCTTCTGATGGTGAAGGTTTCGCTTCAGGGTGGCGGTCAATCAATCGGTTAACGGCAACCCTAGGGCGACGTTTCTTCCTCCTCTATGAGGATATTGGCCTCCCTTGCGGGTACTAGGGCTAAGTGCAATCCTCCACATCTTTATCGAACGATTTCGAGCGCTAAAAGCGACGCATGACGTCTCACTCGAAGGTAAGAAGAGTGGAGCAGGCATCGTTGAGCATAGCCAATATTGGATAAGTCGATTTGGGATCTCGGCGCGAATCTCCGTTCTGCCCTTGCCGCAAGCTTTAAATCCATTCAACGAAAGCGAGAAAGGCAGTATGTCGCACATACGGGACGACTTGGTCATACGTAATAGCAGGAACTATGCAGAAGAGCGAGGCGACTGACACTGTCAAGCAGGCCAAGGAATAGACCATGGACGTTGGCATCCATCTCAATGTTCTCACCAAAGCTCGAGAACCTTGGCAGACTAGCAGCCAGATTCGTAGCTCATATTCTTCGAGTCGCTTGTTTCTGCAGGGAACTAAATGCATACGTAACAGAGACTAGTGGATAGCGTCTATCAGAGATGCGTTCGGAGCATTATAAGGGGAGGATGCTCACCTCGATAAAAGAGGAGAGACAGAATACGTGTCTACACCCATAAGAAGCATCGGGTGTTTCTTTGATACGAACGGGTTATGCAAGGATGCCATCAGCAACAGCGAAAACAATAAACAAATCTCATCATACCGCGTTCAGTAACTCAGTCAGACACTCCCTTACCCTCCTTCAAAATGTCCCAACATCTTTCACACCAAGTTGGCCCATCGACCGACGTCGTGTCCCATTCCATTCCCTTCCGAAACTGATCTTTACGCCTCCGATGAAACTTGAACAGCGACTTCGGTGAGATCCGGTGATAGTTCTCGTGGAGATAAGCTTTCGACGCGAGCTCAGCTTCTTCCTCCGACCCTAACCACATCGCTATTGCATATACGCGCAGTGATTCTCGTAGGAACACGGGAGTAGTGATCATTGCGCGTTCGATGTCCAGCGCGCCTCTTGCTCCTCATGCATCGGGTTAGCTGCGAGTGCGGGATTGCAGGACTGGTGAGGATATCATCGAGTGGCGACAGGACGGAGATGGTGTCGGGGTTACTGAAGTTAGGATGATACGCCGCTGCGAGGTCCATCTTGGAGGCAACAATATTAACAAGGCGTGGCGATCGCTGGGTGAGCATGTGTTGATGGTCGGATTGCCACATGGCTCGCTTCGGTAGTCTGACTCGCATCAACATGAACGCATACAGTAGCTGGTACATGGGGTATACGTGGACCCGAATGCTCCAAAGTATCTCCTAGAAATAGAAAATTATAAAAACCGAATGGCGTAAGTGAACGAAAGATTACACACCCGATGTTGAGCGCAGCATTAAAACCCCTCAGCAGCGTACGACTTCAACTCAGATCTGATATCAGATGAGGTTCGAGGTTAGTCCTTGCTATCGTAGACTTATGCGTGGTACATTGACCAGCATCGGAACACTATCACCCCAGTCTACTGCCACACCTGCAACGGCGGTGCACCCGCCAGAGCTTCGTCGTCCATAATCCATCGACTTGACGTGACGGTTCTGCGCTATCTCGATGTAAAACAAGCTTCACGAACGCAGACTGTAGGATGAATCAGGAAATAGAAGATAATCAAGGGTAAGGTAACGCACGTTTTCATATATGCAAGCCATGGCGAATCCCTACTCCAGGAATTGTGTTCTCGTACCTTTCTTTTCTTTGAAAACAACGAGTACGGTGTGATGAGGTAACGCTGCCGTATCGAGAGTGATGAGAGAGAATTTGGCGGAGGATACGCCGAGGCCCTTACTGCGAGACAACTACCTTTGTCGCGCTGACCAGATGTACTTTCGAGAAATACAACTGTAGAAATATACTTGATGAGCTTCACAATTCGAAAACAGCGGGTGAAAGCAACCTACCTCGCACCTCGGCCAGTCATTTTTTTCGCGTCGTACCCTTTCCAAATGCCGACCTCCTGTGTCGAACAAGATGAAATGGTCCCACACGAACGCATATAATAGGATTCCAGCACGGAAAAAAGCCGGAAGAGGGTTTGTCGGCACTCTGGTCGATGGTTGTAGTCGCGAAAGAAGGAATCGTGGGAAAATGCACGACGCGTCACCTTGATTTAGCATCCGGACCTTGGGCCGTTGTCATCCTGATGATCCCTACTGACAACTCGGGTACCACGACCGACGCAGCGCCCCCCGCATCACCATCTGGGTAAATCGTCAGTGCTTGCAAGGTTTGTAGACCTTCAGGAACTCAACATTGATTACAATCTAGCCTGTAGGAGTCCGTAACGGGCGCGACGGTGACGACAAGTGGCTCAACAACGACGACGTCGGCGGTGGCGAGGGTAATGGAGGACCAAGAAGGAATGTGTGGAACTTGAAGGTCTTGTGTAAATGGAGAGCAGGCTGGGTAGATGCAGGAAGGCGGGAGAGGACAATCTAGACTCCAGAGGAACGACGGCGGCGCCTTTTTGGGACCCCGCCCACATTCAACATGGGCCTATACCGCTCCACCCTAACATCCCGTGTACCCCAGATTTGTGAATCCCCCATTCTTCGGGTGGGGGAACATGAATTCATCGTGTGCTAGTCTCCCCGACCCCGTCGTCATCGTCGTGCATCAGCTCCGCATCCCTATGACCGGCACTCCCGCCCCATATTACATGGTGGTGATGTCTCTTTCCCTCCATGAACCCGCCATCGCTATCAACAGGCCGTCGACCCTACCTCGCTCGGTTTTCTGCTTCTGACCGGGTGCCCCATTGTCCCCAGCCACCCAGCGTTGACGTCGTTCGATGATGTGTGCATTGTTCCCCCTGACGACACTATGCGCAGAGCTCGTAGCTGAGGGATGCCGATTATGGTTTGGATACACGGACTCGGATGTGCCGTGGCTTGGCAGCCGCCGGCCTTTCAAGCTTACAGCACTTCCGCCCATCGCTCTGATGCTAGACGCTTGGTTTTACAGCACGTACATTTCTAAACAACCACCATCATGCCCGCCCTCAACGCCTCCCTTCAAGTCGCCAACATTATCGAAGCTTCTGTTATACCATACGTTGAGAAGCTGGCCAAACTGGCTGTAGCCGTCATAGAGTTGCTCGAGGTACGTATATCACCTTTTTTCTTCGATTTTTGCCGCTGATTCTACTATGCTGTTAATAGAAAAAGGGAAAGAACAGAGAAGATGTGAAGGAGCTCTGCGAGAGCATCAACAATACAGTCACCGTCATCGAAACACTTGTCGCTATGCATGGCGAGCAAGGTGCTGCGTATTTCAAGGACATTTGCTCAGAGATGGAAGGGTCAGTCACTGCTCTCGCATGCTGTATTCTTCACAGCTAATAGTCATCCGACAGATATCTCTCTGGTGTAGCCCATGATCTGCAAGATGTACAGGGCAAACACCGCGGAATCAAAGGCATCCTTAATGTTAACAAGTTCCAAGACGCTATCCAAGGTTACAAGAAGCGTGTCGATGACTTGAAGATGGACTTCCTGGTATGCATATTTTCGACATTGCGAAGTCGATGATCTTACCTGCTGACGTGCTGTAGATCCACACAACGGGCGACGTCATGTTGACGCTCATTGAGATGAGAAGCTTGCTGGCTGTACAGGAAACAGGATCGAAAGAAGGATCAGTGATCATTCAGATCACGAGTACACGCAGTCTTTTTTTTTTTTTTTCATAGAACGCCACTAATGCTAATGCTAATGTAAAGGATACGGATCATTTACGGACCGGTTAGCTAGTAGTGGATACCACTGGATAGTAGTAGGTACTGGTAGACGTTGTCGTATAGTTGTCGTATACCGTATTCTAATTTCATATAATATCGTGGTTATAGTGTACAAAAATTATCTGCATACAGGTACTACAGGAGGTCAGCTAAAACAGGTACCTGTTTGACACGCACCTAGTAGTTTCTCGATCTCCGATTACTTTCATACATTCTTATAGGTGCACCTGCATCTACTAGTACTTGTTGCTGTGCTGTAACTGACTGTTCGCAAGTACTTACTTTTTCAGAACGTCTGTGTTGGGTCTGCACAGATCCAGGCATTGCCGAGACGCTAAACCTGCCGCTGATGGTGCATTCAAGTTCACACCAAGCCTCGAGCTTGTACGGATAATATAAGTCCATGCCAATGCGGTAACAGCATCAGAATATATATAATAATCAATGAATAGACAAGAACATTTTAGCAAAATAGAAAAGAACTCTAAAAACCTCGGAATTTCGCTTCCAGTCGACTTCCAGTACAAAGCAGACCCAAAATCGAGGCGTGGTCACAGAATTCTACATGGAACCTCGGTGTGAACAAACCACAGCAGGAGCTGCATTTTGTGAGATCATTGCAGCAAGAGCCAAGGCAGTTGATAGCAATATATGCAGCATTATAACATGCAAATCAATGGAGGAGCTTCAATAGAAGGCTCAGGAGGGAAAGTGGAGAGGTAAGAACGAAAATTTCAAGATTTTTGCGATCGGGCTGGAAATATGTGCAAACAATGATGTGTCCGCGGCCGCGGATAACGCAAGAGGGGTATGTTGTCGGGTGGTAGTGTCCATCAGGATCTGTAAAGTACTTGCGAATTTGAAGTAGTGGCGGATTGTTATGGATATCGGGGTCTTTTCCGAACTAAGCACGAGTCAACATATGCCTGCCCTCGGCCTTCTCGGTCTTGACCTCGGCCTACCGGTATTTTTTCTTATTTTCTCTTACTTTCTCTATTCTTCTTGCTGATACTAGAATACTACGGAACATTGTAGAATTATAATGACTCAATGCCTTACTAGTAACATATAAGTATTGTCTTTACCATTGTATTAGAATCTCATGCTAATTTTACTCCTCTTTGAAGTCCACTTAACTGTGCGATCTAAGCATTTCTGATCGGTTACGCCAAGCGCTTGCCAATCGACTGCTTCCCGACTACGCCTAGCGCTTTTCGGAAACCCTGTTAGTTACGCCTAGCGCTTGCTGACACCCCGTTAACTACGCCTAGCGCTTGTTGGCACCCTTACGGATCCCTCTTGGTGGTTGGAACTCGGCTTTTGGACATCCTCGCTCACGACTTGGGTTTTACTCGAGTATTCATTACTTCATGTATTAACTCAAATACCCTGATTCTTAACACGGATCGCTAAGTGGTTGCAAATTGAGAGACACGTGTCGCTGATCGTTAGCAAACGGGGAAGTAGCTGTGCGAGCCCAACCCTAGGAAACCACCTGACGGTGAACAAGTGTCTGCATCGAAAGTAGTGCTGGGAACCATCAAAAGTAGTGGTGTCCTCCCTACAGAACGAAAGAATTTTTGTACAGTATAACACCCATAAATTATAATATAAGGCACATCACTGACCATGATTAGATGATACCAGAATTTCATCTTTTGGCGGTAGCTCACCCTGCGCACCGAATTCCACTGTCGTATACCATACGCTACCATGTGTCAGTGTCACGTATCGGTCCGTCTGTCAGGATTGTATTCTCCCGCTAATTTCCATTGCCTTCTACAATATTCTACGGTACCCTGCTGTGCCTGGTTTTGGCCGCCCATCCGATTTTCCTGGACCTCTATGCCAAGTCATTCATATCCAATACCCGATTCCACTCTGGCCCGCTGACGCGCTAACGTGCTGTAGATCCAAATAATAGGAGACAGCATGCTGATGCTCGCTGAGATCAACTACAAGCCAGCTGTGCAGGAAACGTCCGGTGCATGGGAAGAACCTGGGACAGCTAATGATCAAACAATAGGCATCGTACTGGCATAACCCGTGACTTGAAAGACACCGGGAAACAGCACCGCCGAACCGACAGCATTGCCCAATGTCAGAGTTTGGAGAGACCATCCAAGATTGCAGAAGGCGGATGAATGTCTCCGAGACGGACGCCTTGGTACGTTTACTTTCCACTTTACATGGTCGTCTAATTCGCTAGTATGCTGAAAATCCACATAATGGACAACAGTATCTTTGAACTCGTTAAGATCAATCGCCTACAGCATAGCTAGGTGCGGGAGAAGGACGTATCATGGCAAGGATTATGAGTGATTGTTCGAATCATACTTCTACCCGCAGTTCATTTTAGGTGGATTCTGCACCACAGAGCGCCACTAGTATCCTTGTACATGGAAGAAGCAATGAAGCAGATAATATATCCGCATGAAACAGTAACGGAGTTGTGTGATATGTCACAAAGTAATCTCACATTGATTCCACTTTATCTCAGCCTTTCCTGTAGCGAATTCTTTGATTAGTTCAAGTTCGGCAATACAAGTACGATGTAGGCGACCGAGTGCAATAGGTGTGAGTAAGTGAGGACGTACAGACTAGTCGTGACGAGAAGTGAAATAATGCATCCGATTCTGTCCTCAATGTAAATAGCCCAGAAACAAATCACGGTTTTCTGTATACGAAGCGCAGTCAAAGACACGACGAAAATCAATCTATATTACCATTGTAAAATTGATATACCTTACTAGCCGGATGGGTTGTAAAGACCCTCTCTACTCGCGCTTCAGCCAAATGTTCCGGTTCATTGACAAATGTCTTACCAACGCTTAGAGCAAATTAATTGGCTGCCAGGCGAAACGATTAGTGTAGAAGTGCACCCCGCACCAGTTAAGCGGGAGTTTAACACTTATGGTAAGAGTCGCGAAAGGAAGTGAAGAGTATCCTCAGGTATAGTCAAGACGTTCAGCAGTATAACTAGACTAGCCTCAGCCAGATCTCGATGTAACATAAATAATATTAGGCGGTGTTATACATGCAAGTAAGATAAGTGAAAATAGAGACTTCTTCGACAGGTGCATCATATCAATCAGGCCTTTCGGTAACATAATCAAGGTCCGTTCAGATCAGAAAAAAAAAAAGCGGTGATTGCAACAGGCTTCTTCGGAATCCGGAAAACGAACTCCTCCGAGTGACCCACCACAGCCTCAGCCGTCACATCCTTCAACAGGCTGTGCATCTCCGTGACCTGCAAGTGCATCTGCGTAACCTCCAAACGGCAGTCACCCACTGAATGCATCTACACCACAATGTGAGATACGGCGCGAACAATCTGAAAGAGGAAGAATTACGATAAAGTCCGTCTTCAGGTCGTCAACGCGCCTCCTGTAAGTCTGGATAGCGTCTCGGAACTTGTCCACGCTAAAGACGCCTTTAATTCCACGGTGCTTGCGCTTGATATCCTTCAATTCTTGAACCATGCTTTCGAGATACCTATAGTCAGACAGTTCGTTAGTTGTTGAGGCGGGGTAGCCAGCGAAATGTCACCCACTCTTCCATGTCAATGCAAGTGTCCTTAAAATGGGAAGCTCCAGGCTCTCCGTGCATAAGAACGACGGTATCGATAACGGCGATCGTGTTGGCGATGCTCTCACAGAGCTCCTTTGTATTATTCTTGTTGTTTCCCTTTTGCTGTGGAACATAGAATCAGCGAGACTATTCTCTAAGTAAAGGATAGTTGCACGAACCTCGAGAAGCTCGAAAACGGTCACAGCTACCTTTGCCACGTTCTGTACGTACGGCACGCCGGAAGCTTCAGCGATATTGGCGACTTTCAGACAGGCGTTGAGGGCGGGCATGGTGGTTTGTAGTAAGGCTGACTTGTGCTGTAGAGGCTGACCCTGAAGCGCGCGTCCATTCACAGCGTTCTGTGATCTGGGATACTGTGCTGTAAATTCTTATATCTGATAAGATAACTGAAGAACGTAATCATGACGACTCACTGAGAGCTTCCGCCGCCCTGCGACAGGGGCATGCAGACGTTGAAAGGGTGAATGGATCACGTCTGTCTTGTAGGTGCAAATTTTCAAACATGGACGGAGAAAGAGGTGTGCCATATTGGCATCTCCTTGCTGGAAGCCTTCGCCCGCCGTTGGAGGAGCTCAACTACCGACATGGCATGGTCTAACGCTCACTGACATTGACGACAGTCATGGACGTACACATGGTAAAGGGACGGTAAGGAAAACAAGGGATAATTATCGAAGATTCGAGGATAGAAAAGAAGGTTTGATACGTACCCATGCAAAGTGACATTACAGATGTCGTCCAGCGTCCCGGTAGACACCCGGACCCCCTTTCCATCCCAAAGACTTCAACGCCTTACCTTCTAATGGCGAGGGTTTATCTTTGGGGTAGTAGTCAATCAATTGGCTAACGGCAACCCTGGGGCGATGTCTCTTGCTCGACACCTCTCTAAACGGATAATTGGTATCATCCGCAGATATCAGTGCCAAATGCAATCTTCCACATCTTTATCGAACGACTTCGAACGCTAAAGGTGACGCGTGTTGGCAAGGTCTCACCCGAAGGTGTGAAGAGGGGAGCAAGCTTCGTTGAACATAGTTAATTTCTGATCAGCGACTAGAGCCGATATCTGTGCGTCTGTTCACCAAGTGAATGATAATGAGTTGCCAATAACTAGTCAACACACCTTCAATATTTCGTTACTGGATACCACAAGATGGGTAGAGCTCGGGATACTCGGGAAAGCACATCCGTTCGTGCTCACTATTCAGCTTCGGTCTGCCGCCTCGCTCAGCGCAATTTCGTCATGGTTTCGGATGGAAGATGGTAGCAAAACGCCGCCACTACAGTTTCGTCTCGGCCTGTAGTGTCATAACGGCATATGAGGGACAGGACCACCATGGAGGACAACTGGGTTATCGACTGGAGGATATGGGTGACAAGAAAAAAGCCGAACGCTCCCACGCCATCAGCGCGACTTACTATCGGACCGGTTTGGCCGTGCAAAGCGTTGAGTTCCAGATCCGGACTATTTGCTGACCCGCTTCTTGACAAAGGTAACCGACGCGTTTTCGGTGTTTTTTGACTCTTCAGTCGTTGGTTTGAGTTCATGCTCTCAGTAAAAAGAGCAGTTTACCAACCCAGTACGGCTGCACCGCCAAGGGATTACGCCGACTAACAGTGCGAGATCAGGCGACATACAAGGAAGACATAGGGAGGCGTTACCACGATTCAAACGAAGCGAGAGAAAATTCTGCAGTATTTCAGCCAGGCTCGAGGTAAGCCTTCATTTTTCCGTAGTCAGACCTGGCTAATCTGCATCCGTGTCCCGAATTCTACCCACACACCATCCCTCCCGTACCCCTCCCTCGAACCCCTCCGCTCCTCCACCAATCACGAGAGGGCACTTCACTCTATCCATCTGTGCTAATAATAGATATGACCCTCCTTACGCACCCTCCCTCCACACACGCCCTCGCCCACAGACTATCTCGTCTCCGCACCGACTCCCCTCGCATGCATCCACTCCTAACGCGTGCCTGTGGTACGCCTGCATTCAAAAGATTGTTATCGAGGCGACGTACCTTTGTGTATGCTGCATGCGTTGCGCCATTGCATTCGTTGCTCTTGGTATTCTACCTCACCCTCACCCTCGCTGTAGTAATGAACATTGGCTTGATTTTCACGACCTGAAAGGACATTGTTAGTCAAATACAAATAGAAACATTGCGGAAACTCTTACTCGGTACATTCATCTCACTATATCTGTAGTCTTATTATTCTAAACGTTGCCGTTAGTATCAAGTCAATATGCCGGCAAGGGAACCTTACCATACTAACCCAGAAATTCTACCGTACCATTAACACAATCCTGTGACGCATGAGTCAGCCGCGTAGGGAAAGCAGAACATAAATATGCATACCATGGTGCTCCCGATGAGCTCATACACCCATCGATGCTGCTAGCTGGTGGACTCAGCGACAAAAGAGAGGCGAAAAGGAAGGATATGCACCATACTAGCGTCTCCCAACGCACTCCTTACCACCCCGCCGACCCTTCTCCAGCCTAGCCAAAAGAAATCCATTGCTTAAAATAAACCGCTGCTCGCCGCTCAGTGTTGGATCTCATTCTCACCCCGTGGTATTAGCAAATATTAACTTGATTTTTTCACTACCTGAACCACACCAATTAGCCAAAGCAAGTAGAAAACATCGAGTAAACACTCACTCGGTACATTTATTCTAGCTATATTCGCAGTCTTATGGGCACCGTTAGCATACCGTCAATGTGTCACCGATAGTATCTTACCTTCCAATCCCAAAACTCCCGTTCCGCATCCAATGTCCTGTAAAGACACGAGTCAGCCGCACAAGGAAAATAGAAAACAAATATATGCACCATGGTCACACTCCATCAACACCCAAGTATACTCATTGATGCTGCTAACCAGTCTAGCTAAGCGATGAAAGAAACGAGAGGATTAAGCATACGTACCCTATAGTTAGGGCCGCTCTACACGCTCCTTATACCCCTACCAACCTTTCCTAGACCTAGGCAAAAGAAATCCGACACTTCAAGTAAAGCCTTGCCAGATGACGCCTCTAACTGGGTCCGTTGATTTTATCGCGTGCTAATCTGCATTATCGATGCCATACGGACATCGTCGTTCGCCATCTAAAAGGCCATCGTAAGCGAAGGGTTGGGAAACTGAGGAGAGACAGCATACGGTTGCATTGCTGAAAAGTCAGCTGGCGAGAATGGCGGGTGGGACGAGGTGGACCTTAGAAGCGATGAGAAAAAAAGAACGATGTCAAAGGCTTGCAGACGTACCTTTACCCACGGATGTCGTACAATTAAACACGTAGGAAACATCCTAGAGACATATTAATTCATCAATAAACGCTTGAAGGGGTACGGATACGAAACGCATACCCTGTTGATTTTCCCCACATCCATACGCATCTAAGCGAGCTCACAATCGTCAAGATCGAGGCCGAGGCTGACTGCCGCGAGACTAGAAGCAAAGCGTAGAAAAAGAGAGAAAAGAAAAGAAAAGTAATCGAGCTCGACGACGAGACGTCAGCAAACATCGCGGTCAAGACTCAAGAACTAACATGGGATTCGATCAACATACCTTGCCCAAACGAGCAAAGTTAATGTCACGAGACCGCGACGCGTCGTGTGGAAATCGCGTCAACGCACGACAGTGAGCATCACAAGCTCATGATTAGGAGATGTTGTTGATCCTTGATGACACGGTGAGAAGAGAGGGAGAGTGGGAAGGGAAGGGAAGGGAAGGAGAAATGGGGAGAACGGGATGGGATGATAGTTTTCTGAGAATATACACCTCGTTTTATGCCTCCCAGGCGTAATCTTGGTCCCGTAAATTTTATCAACACCCTGTCAATCCTGTCGAGATGAAACACAGAGTTTTGCTCCACAAAAATTCGAAGATTCTCCCGAGGAGACCTTTGAAGTGCATCGATTTTTGACTCTGGAGTCTAGGTGTCAATTGCAGTGAGCCGAGGAGTAGATGTAATCATACAAAAAGTATACCTTTGGCTTTGCGGTGGGTCCGGTAACATCCCCGGCTCACCGCGTGAAACCGATGAGTTCAAGAACTCGTCAATCGACTGGGAGGAGGGTGTATCCCCTCTAGAGAGCTGGTGCATGGATTCCCTTTGACTCTCAAGAACCTAAGATAATATTGTTAGGAGACATACTATTATGAAAGCATACCATTTTATTAAGAGAAAACGAGATGGAAAACAAACGAGATCCAGATGTTGGAGGTGCCAGCTTGTGGGTATTCATTAGCATAGGTTCCTTCGGCAGCCTCAATTTGCTATGGAAGTCATTCATTCTCAACGTCGCATGGCATGTAAAGAACAGCTGCTTACCTCCGAAATATGGCATCGACGCTTAGTGGACAGGTGAAATAATTTACTTTGACGCTTCCACAGATCAATCTCAGGCTATTTTTGGAATGACTTTGATGTCATTTGCTCTTGACTTGACCTCGGCGTTCTGCCACCTTGGTAATCCCAGGAATTTTAAATATTCTTCAAATGCCTTCCATTTCTTTCGGTATTCATCTCTGGAGGGCGCTAGGAAGGGTTGTAGGCAAGGATATTTTTATTCATTGGGTACTTGGCTTCTCTGACATCAAATCCCTCGTTGCGCCACCCTCTAGTAATTGAAAAGGAATTACTTCACTTAATGTCAGGTACCACCTCTTCGGGTGTTTGGAAGCATAACAAAACACGGTGCTCGATGTTCCGAGCATGAGTCTATAAAAAGAGGGCGCGAGTTCCTGCAATTTTTCGTTTTTTGTTCCTTTACCTTCTCCCATCCCCCATCCCCTAGTTTCCCATCATACATCCCCGTACCATGTTGACGCGCAGGAGCCTACGTGTTGCAGTGTTTGTAATCGACGTGTGTTGCGGGACAGGTGTTGATGTCCAAAAGAAGAACATGCGAGGTTGCCGGCGGCAATTCGACAGTCGCTTTCTCTTCCTATTGCCTTGCTCCCTTTTTTCTCTTGTTCTCCTTCCGTCCCTCCATCTCCGCTAGAGTCCTTCAAGACGGGTTTTCTGCGTCATGTCGTTGGTCAATGTTGGTGACTGAATTCTTTTGTGTTCATATTCCGTGATACTTACTCTCATTTAGCCGCCCAAAAGCTCAAGATATACAAATTTTGGCCTGCAGCGAGCAAAGTCATGCTGAAGAGGAGGATCATTATGCTGGTGGATGCGTTACCTGCCAATTAAATGCGAGCTCAACTCCCTGCACAGAAAGATACATCTTATCAAAGCCTTCCTCCCCTAGCACAATCTCGGCATCTCCGCAACACCACACCTCGATTCTTCCCCGATGACGTTACCACCTTCCTCAACGAAGACGACGAACCCAACAAACATCGAAGGAACTCGATTTTGCGTTGAGACGATGTATATCCTTCCGGCGAGCAGCGTCCTGAATACCGTGATATTATGATGGCTTTGCGTGACGATGGTGGTGGTGGATGAATGGGTGTTCAGCTCAGGGTTGCGGGTATGGATGAAGATCGAGGAACATAAAGGGTAGTACGTCTTTTCTCTCCTCGCCCACAGTCAGGAGTCCTCACCCTCCCCTTCAATCCACACGACAGCCCTCTCATTAACTTAGCACAGATGCAGCGCCGGTACTTTGCTTGGAGACGACTTATCGTCGTCCGACGAGCAAGGTCTCGAGTCTGGCGGTAGTGGGAGGAAGGCTTTGCGGGAGGGAGGCAGGCCGGACAGAGCAGGAGATGCACTAGGGGAGCGAGGGTAAGTCCTCCCTGCGCATCCGCATCCACTCACCCTTCCGCAGACATGCCTCTTCTCTTCCCTCTAAGAGACTCCTCCCTCAAACGGCTACCTCAAGAAACGAATGTTAAAGTCAATCCGGGCCGTATAATTAGGGGAATTTTGGCTCGAGGCGATGTATCGTCATCTGGAGAGCATGGTCTGGAGACTATGAGGATGGAGGATGCGTGTACATGCTTGCGCAGACGGGTGTGGGCGTTGTGCGCATGGACATCTACCACCACTGACCGTCTTTGAGCTTTATCTCGTTTTTCTCCCTCCATACGGCGACTTCAAAAGATGAATATCGCGCTACAAATTCCCTGACAGATTTGGAATACGAGTGCGACACTGACGAGGTATATCTGCCCTGACAAAATGTACGAGCCCACCGATTGATATCTACGACAATCATAGATGTACGCCTGCTGATGGGAAGCCTAGGAAAAGAAGAGGTAGGCAGTAAAGACTGAGGATAAGGAGACTCTTATTCGACACATATGTATGCAAAGCGCCATAGTGATATCGTCTATCATCCCAGCGGATGTCCGGCGGTCCGCCTTGCACTCCACAGCCATGTCAACGACTTCGCACTTTCTCTTCCGATGGTGAAAGTTTTCCTTTAGGGGGGCATTGGAAAACGTGAAGCAACTGGGTAACGACAAGCCTAGTGCGGTGTTTCTTGCACGATGTCTCTACTGATAATTGGCCCCGTTTGCGGATACCAGGGCTGTCGTCATTGATTAATCAACCCAGCTTCGAGATTTCGTTACTGAATACCATCATGCCAGTTCAGCTCAAGGTACTCGGTAAAGCGACTCCGCTCACGCTTGTTGCTCAGCTTCGTTCTGCTCTGAGATTTCGGAGGGACGATGGTAGCGACCGTCGCGCCTGCTGAGACCTAACGACATGACATCGATGTAAAAACCAAAGGTTGAGAAGTGAAAATGCCGTATGTAACCGTCCAAAGCTGCGGGCAGTGACAGAGAAAGAAATGACGTATGCTACCGCCGCCATCTGCCGGGACCCGGCCCGCAAATATAGGGGATCGAGGTCTTTACCTCATTTACAGCACTTCTGTACATCGCTCTCATGCTAGACGCTCAGTTTTACAGCACGTACATTTCTAAACAACCACCATCATGTCCGCTCTCAACGCCTCCCTCCAAGTCGCCAGCATCGTCGAAGCTTCCGGTATACCATATGTCGAGAAGCTTGCCAAGCTTACTGTAGCCGTCATAGAGTTACTTGAGGTACGTGTATCACCTTTGTTCTTCGATTTTTGGCCCCTGACTCTGCTATGCCGTTCATAGAAAAAAGGAAAGAATAGAGAAGACGTGAAGGAGCTCTGCGAGAGTGTCAACAATACAGTTGCCGTTATCGAAACACTTGTCGCTACGCATGGCGAGCGAGGTGCCGCATATTTCAAGGGCATTTGTTCAGAGATGATAGAGTCAGTCACCGCTCTCATATGCTGTTATTTCCTAACAGCTAATATTCACCCACCAGATATCTCTCTGGCATGTCCCACGATCTGCAAGACGTGCAGAGCAAACACCGCGGAATCAAAGGCCTCTTTAATGTTAACAAGATCCAAGATAAGATCAAAGGTTACAAGAGGCGCGTCGATGACTTGAAGACGGACTTTTTGGTATGCATGTTTTCGACATTGCGAATTTGATGATCTGACCTGCCGACGTGCTGTAGATCCACACAACGGGAGACATCATGTTGATGCTCACTGAGATCAATTACAAGCTAGCTGTGCAGGAAACAGGATCGAAAGAAGGATCAGTGACCATTCAGATCATGATTATATGCTGTGTTTTTTTTGTAGATGAGCGCCCATCGCTGATGCATCGAATATTTGCCTATCATTGATGTATAGTAGTGGATACCACTGGATAGTAGTAAGCACTGATAGACGTTGTCGTGTACTGTATTCTAATTTTATATAAGGCACATCACTGATCATCATTAGATGATACTATAGAGTTTCATCTTTTGGCGATAGCTCACCCTGATCGACTATCGCACCAAATTCCACTGTCGTATACCATGCACTACTATGTGTCGGCTTCACGTATTGGTCCACTCGTCGGGATTATATTCTCCCGTTGATTTCCATTGCCTTCACAATATTCTACATTGCCCTGCTGTGCCTGGTTTTCGCTGCCCATCCGATTTTCCTCGACCTCTATGCCAAGTAGTCGCATCAAATACTTGATCCCACTCTTACTTGCTGACGCGCTAATGTGCTGTAGATCCAAAGAACGGGAGACAACGTGCTGATGCCCGCTGAGATCAACCGCAAGCAAGCTGTGCAGGAAACATCTGGTAGATGGGAAGAACCTGGGACAGCAACTGACAGCCAATGATCAAACGATAAGCATCGCACCGGCATAATCCGAGACTTGAAAGGCACCGAGAAACAGCAGCAGGGCGGAACAGACAGCATTGCCCAATGTCAAAGAGTTTGGAGAGACTATCCAAGATTGCAGAAGGCGGGTGAATATCTCCGAGACAGACACCTTGGTACGTTTACTTTCCGCTTTACATGTTCGCCTAACTCGCTAGTATGCTGAAGATCCACATAATGAGCAACAGCATCTTTGAACTCATTGAGATCAATCGCCTACAGCACGACCTGATGGTCGACATGCGGGAGAAGGACGTATCATGGGAAGGATTATGAATGATTGTTCGAAGCATACTTCCACCCGCAGTTCATTTTAGGTGGATTCTGAGTCGCAGAGTGCCACTAGTATCCTTGACATGGCAGAAGCGGTGGAGCACATAATATATCCGCACGAAACGGAGTTATAGGATGAGACAGAAAGAAATCTAACATTTATTCCACCTTGCTTTGGCCTAGCCTCTACCTGAGCCATTCAAGTTCTGAAATCTAACCAAGGTGTAGATGACTGACTACAACAGGAATGAGACTCGAATAACTGAGTACAGGGGGAAAGGTCGTAATGAGAAGTAAAGTGATGCATCCGAATCTGTCATTCATATATAAATAACTCAGAAACAAATCGAGATTTTCTGTTCGTAAATCATGGTGAAAGACATGGTGGAAATAAATCTATATTGCCATTGCAAAATAGTTGTACTTTACTGGCAGAACAGGCGGAAAAGATCCTCTCTACTCGTGTTTCAGTCGAATCTTTCAGTTAATGACAGATGCCTGTACTAATGCTTAGAACGTGATAGCTACCTTCCTCTGATCAAGCGACCGTAAGTTGGTACATCTGGAATCATTCAAAAGTCGAAAATACATCAGCTGGCAGCAATTCAACTTGCCAGGAAAGCCACGAAAGGAAGTAAAGAGTATCCTCAGCTGAAGCTAGGACGTTCGGTGGTAGAACATAGATGTGGTATAAGCAAGTACGCGCCAAATACAGAGGCTTCCACGGCTTTTCGTCTATTAGGAACAAAGTACATTTAAGACGTTTATGTATTTGTGAGAATAAATTAAATCATGATGGGAACCGTAGACATTGATGATATTCGCCGCGCGCTCAGGAAGCACCTTCCATCAGAGTTAAAAAAAAGGCAGTGACTTCGAAAAGCTTTTTTGGCGGTAACTTGACTACGTACCTTAGATCAACGTAAAAAAAAAAAAGGCGGTGATTGCAACAGGCTTCTTCGGGATCCGGAAAACTAACTCCTCCGGATGACCCACCACAGCCTCAGCCATAGCTTCCTTCAACAAGCTGTGCATTTGCGTGACCTCCAGACGGCAGTCACCCACTGAATGCATCTACACCACAATGTGAGCTATGGCACGAATAATCTGAAAGAGGAAGACTTACGATAAAGTCCGTCTTCAGATCGTCGACGCGCCTCCTGTAAGCCTGGATAGCGTCTCGGAACTTGTTAACGTTAAAGACGCCTTTAATGCCACGGTGTTTGTGCTTGATATCCTTCAATTCTTGAGCCATGCTTTCGAGATACCTGTAGTCAGATATATGATTAGTTGTTGAGGCGTGATGGTTAGCAAAATGGCACCCACACTTCCATCTCCCCACAAACGTCCTTAAAATGCGAAGCTCCTGGCTCTCCGTGCATACGAACGAAGGTATCGATGACGACGATCGTGTTTGCGATGCTCTCACAGAGCTCCTTGACGTTATTCTTGTTCTTTCCCTTTTGCTACGAGGAATAGAATAAGTAAGACTGACCATCCGGCACAGGATAGTTGCACGAACCTCGAGGAGCTCGAAGACGAATACGGCTACCTTTGCCACGTTCCCGACATATGGCACACCGGAAGCTTCAGCAACATTGGCGACTTTGAGACAGGCGTTGAGTGCAGGCATGGTGGTTGGTGGTGAGAAGGACTTGTGCTGTATGTGGCAACGCGGAAGCGGTTCCTAATTCACAGCGATGTGGAATCCAGGAAAAGGTGCTGTAGAATCTGATAAGATAACTGAAGGTTGTAATCATGATGACTCACCGAGAGCTCCAGCAACAGATGAATGGGAACTTACGGATGTCGGAAAGGCGAACGATGATTTACCACATCTTTTGGTTCTGTGGATAGGGTTTCGCATTGCGGACTGTGCTTTGGGAGCTCCCTACTCTCACTCCTTCGTTTGAGGCTGTCGCTAAGGTGTCGGCGCTCAGTACCCAGTAGCCAAGATAATATGGACTAGCGCTCGTAGATGACAACGATGAACGTTGTATACCTGGCGAAAGAGAATCAGAGAGAAAAATTAGGAGTGATCCAAGGATAAGAACAGGGTAGGACTTACTCGATATATATCCATGCCGTCTAAAGCACCATAAAGTGGTAGCGTCCAGCACCCTGACCAAATCTCCGACATCCTTCCGGCCCACGATCAAGATGACTGATGAATCTCTTTCGCGACGACAATCGGTGGTGCTTCTTGCTCGACTCCGCCATGCACTTATCTCTCTACGTATATCTGGCTTTATGGCACGGGTAGCACTACCAAGCGCAATCAGCAATCGCATGATACTGGATGTTGATGGTGAGTACGGACCGAACAAGGTAAGAAGGCTGCAGGCGTCATTGAGCATAATCAAGTCATGGCAATGTCCAATAGGAGTGCGAGATAGGTTTATCCGCACGTCTGTTAACGAGGTCAAAACGATGACAAGTCGTCAGTCACTACTTAACGTACCCATTGGCATAATATCGATCAAGATGAAGCTACTCGGTAAAGCAACTCCGCTTGCGCTCACTGCTCAGCGCTCAGCTTCGGTCTGCTGCCTTGCTCATCCATCAAGGATTCAGAGGGAGTGTAGATGTCTTTGAAGCAAGCTGTCACCCTTACAATTTCATCTTGATGGTAGCGCCAGCATGGAATACGGGCCACGGGCGCAAAATGGGGGATAATCAGATTATCGACGTGAAGGAAGTGGGTGACAGAAAAGAAAATCACAAGTTCCCACGCCATCGACGCGATTTCTCATCGGACCGGATCGGCCGATGCTTCCCGTATCGACTCCATTGAGCTCATAACTTGGTCCGACGGTCGTGTACAGCAATTATTTTCCTCGGGATATGTACCAACCACCGGTATGTTTTAATTCTCAACAATGTACCCCTCCTGTCGAACTGACTGTGTACATCGCATGAACAACAAGACAGACTGCCCCCGGCCCCTGCTGCGCCAAACACTGATCACCGCTATCACGATGGTCCTCCATTCGGATTCGCTGACTTTGTCCTGCCCCTCGGATTTTTATCGTATCGATTTACTTTCCTTAATATTTCCACGCTGCGAGAGCATCGCTAACACAGTTGTTGTTATCAGCACGATAGTTAGCATACACGAGGATTCTTTAAAAATTGGATCGTGAGTTACCTTCCCCGTGTTTTTACTTGGCTGATGCGTCACATTTTATAGTTTGTTTCATTCCCGAAGATTAGTACTACCCATCACTGTCCGAGCACACCAACAAGCACGCTTTCTCACTTCGTTTACGGACGCTTGCCGAGGAAGAATCTCCCTTTGAGTTTCCCCCGCTCGATACACGAGAAAATCATGCCCAACAAGATCATTATCACGTATATCTGCCAGAAATGCAAGGATCGATGCAAGTTTGTGAAAAACGACCATAACGTGATATTTGAGGCGCTGAAGGAGCCCGTCCAGGGGGGGGAAAATGCTGGAAAAGATGATTTAGAGTGACAATTGAATTCTTTTCTGACAGAGGGAATAGCCAAGGATGACCAGGACCGGAGCTCGGTGTGATCGCCTGCACCACCTTTCTCATAAACCTGCGTGGGAATGAGCTCGCCCATCTGCTATCCATGGCTCCGATGAAGCTCGAAGCTCGAAGCTGCCATCGATATATTCCATTCAGGCTGAGGCAAGTTTGCGCATGATTATCATTGAACGGGTGAGCGGATGGGGCCTTTGCGTATTCGCCTTTTGTGGTGAGGAATCGTTCTTCAATGGCAATCTCAGCTGACCCGCCATAGGTTCTGTACACACCCTGATGGGCCATCGGTTGAATACCTCGAAGGGTTCTATGGTCAGCCGTTGCCCCCTCCTCAACAAAACTGCTCTCACCCTCCCAAGTTTGTTTCTCCTCTTCGTTCTCCTCCCATGAACATAGTCATCGTCCACTTGACAGTGGAAGCTGGGTCAACACAGAATCACTCACGCAAACTACGGACTGCTATGATCACTCCCGGAGACTGCCTGTCGTTGTAATAAGTTGATATAGGTTTTATCATCACTCCACAAGCAATGAATGAAGTACTTTGTGTTATGGGTCTCACTTCATGGGGCTATGAAAAATATTCACATTCGGGAAAAATGCGAGCTGGCGGGGGCTTCGACGCCGAACGAGCTTTTTGCGATCTGGTGATATTTTCTAGGTAAATCTGTTGACCTCTACGCCTCCTCCTCATACATCCGAGCATGAACAATTCGGAAAGTGAGGGTTTTTTTATCAAGTGCATAACGAATTGTGTAAAAGGGTAGGCAGATTGTACAGGATCAGCAAGGTCATACACGCCCCGGCACGCGGCGGGCACTTGTGAAGGAAATGACGCGAAGAAATGAATCGAGACTCCGGCTCGAGAGTGAGGGGTTGATATTGCGAGCAAAGTAGACCGCCTTTTCCTGCCATCTTTGAACAGTAAAATCCGTCAAGGAATGTACTACAGATGCTTTGGCTACTATAAATTGCAGTGACAGCCGACATATGGGACTGTTGTAGGACTTATCCCCCACTACCGAGATTGTAATAGGACAAGATCATGATATTAGACAATTTTCATATAGGCTACACATATTGCGCCAAATTCAAAGTGGCTAACTATTCATTCCTAGCCTGAGTACGACGACCTTTATCAGTCCTCGTGTTTAACAACCAGCGGGAACCGTAGAATCGTCCACGTAGTCTGCCGCCGACATTCCCAAACCGCGACTCGCGAACGCGTTCCAGAGAATGCAATTGTTATCTCCGTCATAACGGAGCGCATCAGCTTGGATCCACGCAGCTCGGGCGTCCACGACTACAAGTACTTAGTCAGATGCCGATAAAACATGCGAGATCTTGGTGCACTTACATGTAGGGTTGCAGGGCTGGAGTTGTAACGCGTCCATGAAGAGGTGAAGGAAAACTATATTTCCTTCGGGGCCAGTTGCATCATCCATGGCTGTCGATGACCATCCGTGGGCTTGGACTAGGGCCGCATATACATTATGTAACATGTTGGCCCATACCTCGCCGATATCTGAGGACCAGTGAATGGGTGACCAACACAGTAATGAGCACGCTTACAGTGAACGGAGTAGGCTACCCTAGGAAGGGAAGAATACCGGAGTGGGTTCACTCTGGGATCCGTGGAGTAGGGATAGTGGCGGATTCCATCAGGATCGTTTGATACCCAAGCCGCAAGAGCATAGTCAGAAATAGTGCCGTTCTTCTGTTGAGTCCACCTGTGGTCGTGCATCAGCCTCCCGATGATGGTGAAAGAGAAGCAAACTGTCATACTCTGCCATCGCGTCCGACCATCCTGAAAACCACATCAGCAAATCAACATCATTAAAATAAACTCGTAAATGTATACCTTCGCCTAACCCTTGAGATTCTGTTGTCTGCAAGCACCTAACCGTGCCGCCCCCAGTCAAGCGATTACTAATCCCATGAGTAATTTCATGAACAATTATATCGTTCTGCAAGTCTGCATCACGATTGGGAATTGTAGAGTCCCAGATACCTAGGCGGCAGGAACCGGGCTGACCACTTAAAACATACATATCAGCTCACGATACAGCGCAGATTGAGTGAACAGCCTACTCGGGAAGGGCAATAAACTCCGCATTATTGAGCTCACCAACGTCTTGTACAGACACCTGCACACGGTCCCCGCTCTGTCCTCCTTTACCAAAATTGTCCTGCTGGAAATTATAAGTAGCCTCGGTGAATCCGTACTTGTACGCAAAGTCGTGGACTTTGTTGACGACGTAGAAAGCGTTGGTGCGAGCAGCGTCGATGTTTCCGCCGATTAGAGGGCCGACGGCTGTATTGTATGGGTAGTTGAATGTGTTGTTCGAGGACTGCTTCGTTGTAGTAAGCAAAACTCCCTGGAAGGAGATGGCATTGTTTCCCCTGCGAAGCATCAATGGGCTTCACCATGCGAATATATATATTTACTTACGCGGTTTCTCCATTCTGTACCCAGCCTTGAGGAGAAGATGTTGAGTCCTCAGGGTTAACAAGAGTTAGCTCGCCTTCTGCGACAGATGTCCTGTTTATTGGTACGACCGTATACTAGGCTGATTTAGAAAAACGTGAAAGTGATGAGAGAATTGAGATTACCGTAGCCTGGGCAGAAAAGTCGGTGAGACCGATTATGTCTCCTGAATGGGCGTCGACAAATGCTTCATAGGCTGTGTGGGCGTCGACGTTCAGGACTTGGACTACATGAGTAAGGGCGACGGATCCGTCTGCGAGGGCTAAATATTCGAGGGAGTTGATGCCGCTGTAGGTGGCAGAGAACGCATCCTCGACTTTGCTGATGATCGAATCTAGCTCTATAGAAGGCTGAGAGGAAGCGATGTTCGCTACCCGATATCCTTAATACAACAGAGATGTATAGGTGCAAGACATCACTTACATGTATCTACGAATGACGACCCGAATGAAACGGCGTTGCCCTTTTTGAAAGCGACATTGGCAACAGCGTTGGCGAACGGAATGCCATCCTGGGCACAGAAAATCAGGTTATCTTCGGAGTAATTGGGAAAGAAAAGACGTACATGATACTGCTTCGCATATGCGTAACTTATATTGTTCTCAGAAGTGTGACCAGCCCTGTACATGACCGTAGAGGAATCGACATTCAGTTCCGATGCAATGAAGGAGACCACGGATGTATTCATATCACTGCTAGTAAACGACGAGATGGATTTTCCCCCTCCGTAAGTCTACAAAGAAACATATGAGATGATGAGCAGAAGGATATCATTAATTTATTACCATCACCAAAACCTCAGCCATGTGTTCTGGTCCAGGTCGGCCTTATCTGGGCAGCGGTACCAGCCAACAATGATCTGAAGTGCCCTGTCTGATACGATCAGATCAGGGCTGGTCTGATCAGAATACTCCAGACCTCGATAGGATCTGTGTGGTCTACTCGAGGGGAGATAGACCTACATAGAAGAGGCCTGAACCAGAAGAGATCCGAAGTAGTCAGTCAATGGCTCTCAAATTGTATCGCATCAGCCTTATCAATTATAATTATGTTAATTTAATTTCAGTCTAGTAAGAATTACAGAGCGGAATATCCGAAAAGCCCATCATCATCAAACTCGTCGTCTTCTTCAGGCTCATTTAGCTCGACATAGTCATCTGAATGCCATGAGCTATCACTGTCTTCATCCTCAATGCTACCATCGATTTCAGCATCAGAGGTATCCGAGTCTGCTAAGTCTGCTGGCGCATGACCCAATTCCGAAGTATTGGCGCCAGGTTCAGCGTCATCCTCTTCTTCTTCAGCATCCGATTCAGCGACTTCAGAAGTATTCTCCGATGTAGTGATCCCCAAAGCATCGAGAAGCTCTTCCCACAATCCCCGTGTATACTCTCGTGTATTGCTGTGGCCGACGCCATTGCCGCAATACCGCATGAACATGTCACGATCAGCAAATCTACTCTCCGATTTCCAGTCAGATCATAGATACAGAATGATAGAATTCGAGGATGGACTTACATATCCACATAATAGCGTGCCCAATCCATGTCATTCTCATTGAATCTCCTACAAATTGAGGGTGGAAGGATGTCCGACGTTTGACCATAGACATAGGCAGGCATAATATGTGATGCACGAAGAACATCATTAGGATCTACAAACCCAAACGCCTGAGGATCATCACCTGGGAGAAAACCAATGCATGGCAAGCGCTTTGCCCTAAACCCAGAAGGGATGCTCCTATCAAATGCATACCATCGGACCCATAGAAACTGAAGGTTCTTTGCGGTGCGATCAACGGACTGCAGGCCAACATGACGGACCGTCGCATGAAAGATACCGATAACTCTGGCATATAGATAAGGATGAGAATTGTTATCGCTATCCAAATCAGTCTGCGTAGAAGGAGAAAGGGCCATAATATCGGAATGAGTACGAGGGTTGATAGAATCTTGATTTCGACGAGCATCGTAGGTAGTATAATTGATACGAAGAATTTGATGTGAGTAGAGGCGGTTGTCGACAATGATGAGGTTCTGGCGATGAAGATCTGTGAATTCATCATTACTATTGAGAATTCGAGAGAGTAAATGGTCCTTGAGCTTTCGAATAAAACCCTAGAAGTGATGTCAGATCATTATTACAGGGAGTTTAGATGATCCAGGATTAGATAGCTCACATTACACGCAATGTCGCTGCCATTCTCATGAAGCCATGGAGCCAGATATATTTTTGAACTTGTAGATGGTGATATATGGTGGTGGTGACTTGGATCTGTGTACGGGAGCACCTCAGAACCATCCCTTGCAGGCATAGGGCGACTTCGGTGTTTTTGGTCCTTGAGATCGATTTTTCGTTGCATTTCTCGGAGGCGTTCTTGGCGTTGAACATGATGTGATATCTGCTTCGCAAAGGTCTTGTTCTTGTTGGTCCGCCCATAGAAACGCTTGACTCGCCGATGCTCAAGCTCTCCCTGAAATAAAATGAGCTTAGCGTGGCATAGAAAATTTGGAGGCTTACCAGCTGAGTACTATATGAATCTGTGGTTCCAAATGCACGAATCATTCCAGGATAATCACCCATGGCATGATATTTATACGTTGAAAGATTAAATCTTTTCTGTAATTTCGCTGTTGAAATTTTACCTTTTGACGTGCTGTTCCCTTTCTTCTTCATGTTACTGATATCGCGCCGTGCCCTAGCTTCACGTTCCTTTGGAATCTCACGTGTATCAATTTCATCAACCTCCCGCTTGAATTTTCTCATGAAGGACCCGAAAAGCCACGTTAGACGTTCGAACACTCGGAGTGATGACTCAGTATGCATCCGAAGTTTAGCATTCGCATGCCAGCAAGCAAACAAGAATAGCAAGTCAAGGACAAGCCTGTCCAATTTCGGAGGAAAGAGTCCTTCAAAGCATGGCATGGCGCACTACAAGTGATAGATCCAGAGTCAGCACTGAGATATGTTAGAATAATAAGCTATATACCTGAAGAATATCTTCGAAATCACGAGCGGCAAAGTTTTTAAGGTCGGATACATTATTCTTGAACCTTCGTATAGTTCCTCGTCCAAATGTAGGCATCATTCGGAACCTACAAGCAGAATTAAAGACAGTGATATGACTAGAAACATCTAAAGAGACATACCTTCTATTTAATTCCTGTATAATATCGCCTCCGTAAAACTGACAAAGCCGTAGAAGATGAATAACTTAGAGCGCCTTCCATGTTCCGAGTTCAATCTCATGCAGAGGATCAATGACGAACATCTGGTAGAAGTTGAAGAGTGAAATAAACACTGAGGAGAACGCATTCTAATAGAACATTAGCATGGCATTATCCTGATGAGACCACTATTGACTTACTCGTGTTGGTGATAGAGACTGGCGGTTCAGTACATCGCTCACTGCCTTGCCATCAACAACATTGCCATCCTCATAAATCCAGCTGCGAACTTTCTCAATCCAGCTTTGCCGTTGTGTTGTATCCACTCTAGCTTTTTTTACACGGCGCTTCATGTCATTGATGGTACCCATTTCCGACGCTGTTTCCTTGGTTACTAAGCAGCGCGGGCATAGAAATTCAGCCATTGACTTAATACTTGCGAGTAGGACTCTGTAAAATGGATGAATTAGAATGTAATAATAGAAACTAATACTAACGTACTTTTCAGGGTAGTCAGCTGAGTATAGAAAAAAGCGAGGGTATACACGGCGGTAAATATTATCAGCGCAGAAGATTACAACCCCATTTATATACGCATCCATGAATTCTGGTGAAAGAAGCTTTGCCCAGATAGCATGAACGAGCTCCCGTTTCAGAAAAGTTAGGATTGCAGGGGATGCACGCCGTCCAAAGTATTTCAGATAGGCATCTTGAATTTTATCCGGAATCTGATTGATATAATTCAATATAATTAGTATTTTAAATGCAGAAGACGAGGTAAAAACAAACGGTAGGCATGTACACAATATGATGTGATGCTCCTGACGTTGGTCGAGCCCGCACGTACTTGGAGAGTAGGCCGAACAACAGGTAGATGGGCCAGAGTGTGGCTGTCCCGAAATTAGTAAGATGCGTTGAATCCGAGTACAGCATGCATGGCGCAATAACAGTTTCCAATCCGTTTGGGTCAGGTGTCAGGCGAACTTCGTCTTCCATTTCAAGAAAGATATCTGAACTATATACCTCCCCATATACTCGTTCCGGCTGGTCATCGTTTCCAGGATCCCACATTTCCTTGAAACCTTTCAGATGAAAGTCAAGGAAAGTGGTGCTCTGGAAGGCGGATACAATCACATCCAAAAGGTTCCGGTGGTAAACGCCTGTGACTTCGAACTCGGGAGCAGACTCCTCAGAGATGTGTTCAACACCAGTTTGAGGCAGCTTGATGGTTACCGAAGTCTCATGCCAGCCATCAGATAAAGAAAATGGAAGACAATTTTGTTGTTCGCCAATAGTATCGAGCACCTTGATCTCCTTCGCAGCATCAAAGTTATCAGTAAGATGCTCGGGATCAAAATCTGGTGCCCGTAGAACGGTTCGGACAAGGGAGGTGACGTCTGACAATGATTTAGATGTTGACTGATAGAACCACGAAAAAAGGCGGAAGATAGTCGCATTTGGGAAGGGATAAAATGGATCAGTACTGCTCTCAGGTGCATTTGCGAGGCGGTCGGCATGAGAAGTGAATGTTGAAGCATCAGAGACCTCATCGAGACCACCTCCCATGGTAGGGTCAACAGTCGGCCACTCCTTATAACACCGATAAAGACCCATCTCATTTGGAGCTGTCTCGAGATATACGGGTTCGGGTGGTGGTGAGGCCGATGGAGAAGGTGACCTGGATGGTGACGGCTGAGGCATGGCAGGTGGGAGAGGTGGTTTTTGCTCCAGTGATGCAAATAGGCGAAATCCAGTAGGTTTAGATGGTAATAGATCGTGCAGGCGCTTTGGAAGGATGATATTTCGCTTCGGGCGGCCTTCTGAAATGACAGGGATGGGAGGAGGGCTGGCAACTTGCTCATCTTCGTCTGGAATGGCGGCATAACTAGACGGTCCTGCAGTTGGAGTATGCGGCAAGGTCCTTGCTGTTTCATTCATGGTTGCATCAATTTCGTGTATCTAGAACAAAATTTAGACTGGGAGATGTACAATGAACATCATAGGCATCACATACAGGTGCGTTGTCTCTGCTAAGGTCGATACGACGCCTCTTGGGTGAAAGACGCTCACGAATTGCCTGCAGTCTTGTCCCAGCAGAAATTGGCACCATCTCCGAGTTTGGATTCTCCTCCACATCGGACGGGGACGTGACATGCTTTCGAGACCGAATACGGACATTCTTTCGCCTTGGGCACCTTCGCTCATGGTTTTTGCAGGCCACAGCATTGTGAAAGGAGGCGTTGCAGAAAGAGCATCTTCCCATAATAGCCTAAAACAGATTTAGTTAAATTTCCACAAATAAAAAGTTGTGTTACCCAGTGAAAATGAGAAATAGAGGGAGAGATGCAGGAAGAGAGAGAAACACGAGAGGTAACTGGACTCCACAGCTGAGAGCGAGTCGGCGCTGTGATGGCGGTGGTGGTGGAGATCACGTGTTACAAGAATCGCGTCGCGACGCGTTACATACTGTCACGCTTGTCCTTCTTGCCTTTTACTTCATCCTCCTTCGAAGTCAACCATG